GCCAGTAGTTACTACAGCCACTGGTTAATGTTTTGTAACCATAGCTCCTTTTTCACTATTTGCAGCTTGTCAGAAGCCATTCACCAAGTAGTAGAGGATCCATACTTTACACCCACAAGTACTTCAGCTGCTTAGATTTCCCTAAAAATCTGGGTCTCAAAAACAAAGCTACCACATCAGGTAGTTGGTCATGGTTTCTGACCCTGGAAGCAGGACAATTTGTTCACTGCAAGCCAATTGGCTACAAATTATTTGCTTCACCTGGATCGCATCCGTAAAGGGAATTTCCATAGATGAAATTTTCAAGACTTTTCCTGGCAGCTACTAGTCATTGAAATGCACACAGATTATTAGCTCATCCATTAGCTTAACTACAGAAGCTTCAAATTTTTAAACCCAATCCCGCTCCCTGCCCTTCCCCCTCCCATCTTTGGACCTCTGCACATTCCCCAGTCACTGCCTTTGGCAGAGACCAATTTGGTGGTGGTTTTGATCCATTTCCTAGGCTTTTTAGTGAGTATGGTCTAATAACTTGTTAGACTAGACCACTATCCCAGTGCATTTCACTGATTAGCTATCAGTATGTAATAGAAACTCCCATTATTGTTGTTGTTAAACTGCCTAGAACTAAAGAAGATCCCAGCCACTTGTTTGAGCTATGATGTTGAACTGAGGCAAAAAGCTTCCCAGGGAGTTTTTACATCAAAGATCATTTCAATTCAAATAATGGGGATTTTGCACTATTTTACAATCATCTTCTCCTCTCCTGAGCCCACCAGCATCTATGGCTTACAAACAAGGTAGAAAATGTATGAAGATATCCAGCCTTATTTACCAAAGTCTTCTGGCTGGCCCAATTCCACATCTAGGTAGCTGCCTTCCACTGTGATCTGTGACACTTATTTCATAGCTCCTTAAGTCCTGGCTGCAGCTTGTGTGGTAGTAAGTTCTAAGTTGGCCAAAGCTTTCCTGGCCTCCTGCATTTCATGGAAAACCTTTCGGTAATCTCAATCCAATTTGCCATTCCAGACTAGGAGAACTGAAGATGGCTTGGACTGTGATGTTTCACACACACACACACACACACACACACACACACACACACACCCACACCCACCCTGCAATAAAAATGAATCCTCAGCAAAACCCCACCACCCAAATAGCTTGACTTCTGACCATTCCTGCATGGCCTCTGTTTTGAGCCGTGGCTCCTACTATAAAGGAGTTTGTTTCTTACATTTATCCTGAATGGGGGTGATTATGCCCACCAGCTTCAATGAGGTTTAAACCAACGTAGCTGTATATTTGAGATTGTGAGGCACTCAAATACTGGATAATGGGGGCCATAAGTACAGTTCAACTGGTCAGATTAAACTAAACAGGCTCAAAAAGGCAGGATAAGGGGACAGGACAGTGGCATTAAAAGGATGACCAGTAAAAACCAAGGAAATCTGGGTGTGCCTGTTACCATTCTCAAAATGCAAGAACACCACAAGTTTAAACACTTAAAGAATGGAACTCATTACCACAACATATTATCACAAGATGCCAAAGGCCTAGTAAAAGTCGAGAGGATTACAAAAGTATATGGACAATGAGAACATCCAGTCACATAAGTCAGGGGATTCTACAAGGGTATAGTCTCATACTTAGGGCATAAAGCACCCAGAGTGGGGGGTTACCAGGAAGCTTTCCCTGTTAGAGAGTTACTCCATAATTGTAACTAGACTTGTTTGCCCCTTCCTCACCCATCTGTTATTGGCCATTGCTCATTCATGATAGTAGACTAGATGCTCTAGTGGTCTGACTCAGCATGGCAATTCTGTGTTCTTATGGATGAAACCAGAGGAGCTATATGCAAATCTGGGAGCCACTGAGCAGTTCTCATGTATATTCTTGTTCACAAAAGCAAATTAAAGTCTCTCTCCTGGCACCAGTCCCTGGTCTTTCAAGGGTTAAGTTTGGCACCAGAAATCCATGTGAATATTTTCAACATGGAAAAAAGACCCAAAAAGGTAAGTGAGGCAGAAGAAAAATTGGAGGGCTGTTCCAGATCAGTAGACAGTCACTCTATGGGAAGACCAATTAACAGTCAAAATAAAATTGGCCTTCAGGGAGTGACTCTCTGCCAATCCAGAGAGAGCTGTGGGGAAGTAGCAAGCAGGAGAAGAACAGAGGGAGGGATAGCCCAGTCAAAGCAACTGGAATTATAGAAAGCCAACATACTAAACATTGATACCATGGACCAAGAGACTGAAAAAAAATCTTTATGGTTCTCGCCACAAGTTTTTGTTCTTCTCAGCCCACAGATTCCAGAAGGTAATAAGTTTAAAACAAACACAAAAATACCCAAACTAATGTAGGGTTTGGGATTTTGAGACAGCCATCTTGACCAAACTAGCTTGGACATTTATGGGTAAGGTCAAAATGAATGTGCTTTAATATCTTATTTTATACACGCACACACACACACAGTCTATTTGCAATTATACCATGGACTTGTATTTTAAACTATTATGAGAATTAAGCATAAGAAAAGATTTAAGTGACCTAGTCCAAGCAAACTTTGTAAAGTTAAAATCCAAATGAGCTAGCAGAATTTGATAGAGATATGCACTATAGTCCCAAAGATGATGTGCTCTTTGCCGTAATTATAGCCTTTTTATGATATCAGAGAACAATATCTAGGTTTTGATGTTGCAATTAAAAAGTACTCCCAAAGTCTGTGCTACACTAGGGCTCCCCTGCAGCTCAACCAGTAGTCACACAGGTGAGCATATCCAAAAAGATGCTCCTTCAGATATGGCGTGGACATAGAAGGAATCTGTAAATTTACAGAAACATCTATTCTTGCTCCACTCATCAATTCACCCTCAAACAATACACAGGCACACTTGCAAATCTTAATAGATTATTAAACATGGCACCTTCAAAAAGCATGGATATATCAAATCAACTTCTAATCAATTAAAATAGTTTTATGTTAAAGTAGTAGTTCTAGCTTTCAATTAGTTTCCATTCTCTGTTTATCCCTGCTAACAAAGATGAAAAATGAGTCTTTACTGATACTGTCCTTTTTCATTTAGGAGACACCCCTGTGTGTGTACACACACACACACACACACTAAAAGGAATTTAACACATTTTAAGTATCATTTACATAGATATTGAGACCAAGATGTGATCCTATGTTTTTGAATAAGCACAGTTTTGGACATAGCATTCATTCATTAACTGCTGCTGGAGTGCCAACAGTGGAATACAGGACTTTGTGTAGGAACATAGTGGCTCTTCCCAGACTCATTTGAAAACAAAAAAGAAATCAGTTATATGCCATGAAGCACATAACACCCTGTAAACTTTCAAACATTTAACTTGACAGTCAGTACAGTTTTCAATAACTTCAGAATTTCAAGTTTTGGAAGTCATTTCAACATGAAGAGCAAATCCTACTTCCTTTTTACCTAGATAAGAAGCCTCAACCCTTACATGAGCATAGCACCTCTGAGGATTAAAGGGTAATTCAGTCTCCATGCTCACAGTCAAACACTGGCCTCCCCTGCTGGAGCTGCCAAAAAGGTACTGAGATGTCACCTGCTTATTTGAACTATATTGAAATAGAGCAGACTCTCATTTCATACAGATACTGGATACGAATAATTTTTTTTCCCTACTGACCTGGCTGAAATTTGAACTAGTGATTTTAAGAAAAAAAAAAATTCTCAGTAGCGGATTAGCACAGAATTTTTATTTTGAAATGTTATCTTGAGAAACACTTCTACACAAGAGTGGTACGTTTGTTTTAAAAGTTCAGTGTATTTCTGATCAATTTATAGAAGGGATTAGTACAGTTGTTCCCACCAACAAAACAGTTAAAAATATTTAATGCAACAGAAGGCTCAGGTGAGTTCCAATATCATCAGGTACCTTATTCTTCTAGAAGTACACATGGAAAAAGTGCTCCATATCATAAAGACATCACCCCAACAGGATTGCCTGTGAGGTTAGAGAGGCGAAGACTAAATGAGCATATAGACCACTACTCTCATCCCCTAGAAATGATCTTCCTTCAAGTCAGAGCAGAGAGTGCTTGGGTAGAAATTCTGCATTATTGCCCTCCATGCCAAATCTATTCTATACATAAAGAGACATTCCCAGGATTGTCAACACACCACCTTTCACAAGTAGTAAGTTCTCTAAAATATATTAAGTGGTACTGGAGAGACAGTGCTCCTGAGAATGTGCTCTTACAGCAACAACTGATCAAACAATCATTTTTAAAATTTAGTTGTGTTGCTATTTACACCATCAGAATTCAGAAGTGCAATCTATTTTCTAATAAAGATGTTCTCTGCCTTGATGTTATTTGGCAATGTTTCTGAATGCTGAGTCAAATGAAAAACCGATCAGGAGATTCAGACATAATAGCATCACTAACTCATCTAGCCCCTTCCCCTAGCAAAAAGTTAAAAAATATTAACCCTTAATCATATGAAACACTAAAAGTAATTATGGAAGATTTATTCCAAATTACTCCTATGCAAACCTGTAAAAAAAGTGACCTCTCTTACTCATTTCTCATATAGACATTCATATATCACATTTGAAAGTTTTCAACTACAGATTTTACTAGAGTTTAAAGATTTAGGCCATATCTACACTACAGCTGTTAAGCGGCATACCTACAGCTGCATTATTAGAACACCATAGTATAGACACTTCCTATATTAACTGAAGGGGTCTCCTTCCCCCCCGCACCCCACTGATATAGTTAACTTACCTCTCCGAGAGGCAGTAGCTAGGTTGACCAAATAATTTTTCCATCCATCTAGTAGCATCTGCACTGAGAGTTAGGTCAACCTAACTACAGTGCTCAAGGTGCAAATTTTTTCACAGAGGAGAAACATAGCTAGGTTGATCTAGGTTAAGTTTAGACCAAGCCTGAGTCACATGAAGCAAGACTTTCATCAACAGATTTACAAGTATTTGAAATAAATTACCTGACCCAGAGCCAGAAGTAGTCATATCATAAATTAAATCTTTTAAAGTAGTTCCTTCTGATATAAAAGGGCGATCCAATGAGGGATCCTCTTCACTTGGTACACGATGATGTATGACAGTACGATTATGGCAGATATACAGAATCAACATTAGTGAAATGCAAACAAAACAGACTGGTCCAGCAATGATAGCTGCCAATTCCACAGGTCCCAGATTAGAAGAGGATTCTCCGGAAGTAGGGACTAAAAATGGAGGTAAAAAGAAAAAAAAAAAAGTAATGTTACTATTTTCTAACAGCAAATATGTTTTTAAACAAAGGATTCATTTTTTAGTATTTGTGGCAGTATATTGCATCAGATAATGGTCTTTGAAGAACTGTTTTAATGCATTTTGTTTCAGTAAAACAACACTGAGTCTTAACTCACCTCTTTGAGACTCATTGGTATAGATTATGGAGACTGAAGCTACATACATTGAAGTACAGGGCAGTTAGAAAGATTTACACACACATTTAATGCAAGCCATGAAGCATGATGATACAAGAGTCTTAAGTAATTCTGTACTTAGTGGTTTATTTCTTGATCTACACTTTCAAAATAATTTAGGAAGTCTGATGGATGCTCTGGTCTGCCCTCATAGAATCAGAATCATAGCTCTGGAAGGGACCTTAAGAGGTCATCTAGTCCAGCCCCTTGTACTCACAGCAGGACTGAAGTATTATCTAGACCATCCCTGACAGCTCTTAAAAATCTCCAGTGATGGAGATTCCACAACCTTCCTAGGTAAGTTATTCTATTCCAGTGCTTAACTAAACCACCCTTTCAGCAATTTAAGTCCATTGCTTCTTGTCCTATCCTCAGAGGTTAAGGAGAACAATTTTTCTCTCTCCTCCTTTTTAAGGATCTTTTATGTCCCCTCTCAGACTTTTCTTCTCCAGACTACACAAACCCATCCCCCCCCCCCCCCCCAATCTTCCCACATTGGTCATATTTTCTAGACCTTTAATCATTTGTATTGCTTTTCTCTGGACTTTCTCCAATTTGGCCACATCTTTAATGAAATAGGGTGCCCAGAACTGGACACAATACTCCAGTTGAGGCCTAATCAGCACGGAGTAGAGCAGAAGAATTACTGCTCATGTCTTGCTTACAACACTCCTGCTACTACATCCCAGAACGACGTTTGCTTTTTTTGCAACAGCGTTACACTGTTGATTCATTTAGTTTGTGATCCACTATGATCCCCCAGATCCTTTCTGCAGTACTCCTCATTATGCAGTCATTTCCCATTTTGTGTGTGCGCAATTGATTATTCATTCCTAAGTGAAGTACTTGGCATTTGCATCTATTGAATTTCATCCTATTTACTTCAGACAATTTCTCCGGATCATTTTGAATTTTAATCTTATCCTCCAAAGCACTTGCAACCTCTCCCAGCTTGGTATCATCTGTAAACTTTGTAAGTGTACTCTAACTGAGGAAGATATTGAACAGAACGAGACCCAGAACTGATCTCTGCGGGACCCCACTTGATATGCCCTTCCAGCTAAACTCGGAACCACTGATGATTACTCTCTGGGAACAGTTTTCAAACCAGTTAAGCACCCACCTTATAGTAACTCCATCTAGACTGTATTTCCCTACTTTGTTATGAGAAGGTCATACCAGAGCCTTACTAAAGTCAAGAGATCTCACATCTACCACTTCCCTTCCCCATCCACAAGGCTTGTTACCCCTGTCAAAAAAAAGCTATCAGGTTGGTTTGACACCATTTGTTCTTGACAAATCCATGCTGTTACTTATCACCTTATCTTCTAGGTGTTTGCAAATTGATTGCTTCATTATTTTCCGGGTACTGAAGTTAAGCTGACTGGTCTGTAATTCCCCAGTTGTCCTTATTTCCCTTTTTATAGATGGGCACTGTATTTTCTCTTTTTCAGTCCTCTGGAATCTCTCCGGTCTTCCATGACTTTTCAAAGATAAATTGCTAGTGCCTCATATCTCCTCAGTCAGCTCCTTCAACATTCTAGGGTGCATTTCATCAGGCCCTGGTGACTTTAAGACATTTAACTTGTCTAAGTAATTTTTAACTTGTTTTTTCCCCTATTTCAGCCTCTGATCCTACCTCATTTTCATTAGCATTCACTATGTTAGACATTCAATTGCTACTAACCTTTTTGGTGATAAACAAAAAAAGTCATTTAGCACTTCTGCCATTTCCACATTTTCTGTTATTGTTTTCCCTCCCTCATGTTTACTTGTACTCAGTTTAGTTTCCTTAACCTTTATAATGAGCTTCATTGATTTTGTTGGGGAATTACTTTAAAAACCAAAAACCTTTACCTGGCGTTGGAATTTGAAGTTCTCTTTTATTGCAGTAGTCTGTGACACAGCAGTAAGGCCTAGTAACAACTCCATTCTTTGATGAGTGGGCACAAACAAATGGCCTGTCTCGTGGAATCAGATCAACTTCTGCTATGCACATACTATTGTGTATGTCTCGGTCTTGAGCCCGTGTTACTGAGACAAAGCAGAGCCCATCCGTCACACATGTAAAGTTGTCTTTTGTACAAAGATGGCAAAAACACTGTAATGCTGTATTAAAAAGAAAAGAGGTTGCAGTAGTTATGTTAAGCAACGTTAGAACTATGAAACTTCAAAAACTAAGTGGCAGAAACATTTTCCCTGATGCCACTTTTCGAAGCTATGTACTGCATCATAACACAAAATTCAAATATGATGCCTCTTAATAGGCTAACAAAATAAGGGAGCGGGAAAGAGGATTATAACAGGAAGCTTGCTTCAACTTTGACTATGTATAGATGAACAATCTCCACACACACACACACACCCCAAACAAAATAACCACACCACAGATACATTCAGGTCATGGGTGTTGGAAGTTTACTAAAAAAATAGAAAGGTGAACTATTTTGAAGTTTACTGTAACGTACCAAATGCATCACCGAAAGCATTAAGAACCCAATCCTGTTGCTTCTGAAGTCAACAGGAGTTTTGCATTTGTTTCAATGGAAACAAAAGCACATCATTAGTTTGGAAGATCCACCATGCAATGTTAGCCACATGTCATGCATTAAAGCATTGTATTTCCCAACAGTTTAAAGACCTTTAGCCCTTGGGTGGGGAGCATATAAAGGCCTTATCCAACTCCCATTTAACTCAATGGGATCACTCCTTTTGACTTTAATGGGAGTTAGATTGGGTCCTTGCTGTGAGGCTACAGAAGGAAACTTCCATATCTAGAGTACAGGCATTACAATGGCACACCTATAGTGCTATAGTTATGCTACTATAGCACCAGTAGTGTAGACAAAAGCCCTTTCCCCCCCCCTATATAGTGGTAGATAGTTTGACTGAAGCATATGTACACACCTGGGGTTAGGGCTGTGAAATTTTCAAGAGCCTTCAGAAGGAAGCCTACTATGTTTATCTATGTTTATGCATAGAAGGGCTATAAAGGGAAAAATTGCTATTGACCAAAAGACAGCCAGCTAAAGGAGAATTCAGTATCAACATCCCTCTCCCATCTATTTCTTGGGAGCGCATGTGAGAGAGAGCGTGCGCGAGTGAGCGCGCATGCATGCTACAGGTTCAAGTTTGTGCCTTGGATAACATTTCTCTTTAGGTCCTTCCAGGATCTTGCCAAGGAACTCCAGCAAAGAGGTCGGTGAGGAATTACTATTTCAAAAGTAAAAAAGTTTAAGTTTCATGCCATCTGTATAAAAAGACACAATGAAGGACAAAAACAAAGGATCTTTGCTTGCGAGCACACCTTTAATGAAACATGCACTTGTCTCAATTACATCAGTTAGTACAAGTGAAAGCTTAAAACATTCATGGACAAAATCCAAAGGGTAGAAGACACACCAAGTAGTAATGAAGAGCAGGGATAACCAGAGGTGATAGCAGACAACTAGAAAAAACTGAAGCACTGTGCCTTGAAGTACACCTCTACCTCGATAGAATGCTGTCCTCGGGAGCAAAAAAAAAAAAAAAAAAACAAAAAAAAACCAAAAA